GGTTCAGGCAATTCTCCTGCCTCAGCCTCCTGAGTAGCTGGGATTACAGGCACGCGCCACCATGCCCAGCTAATTTTTTATATTTTTAGTAGAGACGGGGTTTCACCATTTTGACCAGGATGGTCTCGATCTCTTGACCTCGTGATCCACCCACCTCGGCCTCCCAAAGTGCTGGGATTACAGGCGTGAGCCACCGCGCCCGGCCACGAGACAGATATGATTTTAAAAGGAAAAAAAGCAAAGGACAAACGTAAAAAGACCACCCTTTGTGGGGCACCCCAGCTCCTTAGCTACAGACTCTGTCACTCATCCTTTAGCACCTGGGAAGGCTGGGGCAGATTTGAGCTGCCTCCGGCTGTGTCCAGACTGTCTGCACATGGCCTTTCTACATTCCCATTATGCATCTGCAAATCTGACCAGGCCTTAAACGGCACTGCTGCTCACCATTCGTTCTTGCCACTTGCCAGCAACTCCTGTGGCTAAGACCCTTGTTATTCTGCAAAGCGGGCAAGCAAGGTTGCCTTGCCTCCAGGAGACCCAGGGAGAAGAGCATGCAGGTTACAGATGCCGGGGTGGCAGATGTCGCCGTCCCCACGCACCTCCATCAGGAGGGCCCGGCCGGGGCTGCTGTGCCTTCATTTCACCGCCGTGGCCTGGGCGCAGGAAAGTCAACTCAGCTCTGGATTGAGGTCTGAGTCGTCAAACGTGGGGTAGAAATTTGAGCCCTTTTGGACTTTAAACCTATGGCCTGTTATAAAGTTGTAAGCAGAGAAGACTGTTAACTGTTCACTCTGTTTCTTCTGGGCCTGAGCTTTTCAAACTGTTGAAACAGTTTGGGAGTTGAAATATGTTTCTGCCTAGCTGAGAAGACATTGGATCCTTCTAGGAAAGGACAGCCAGGGAGGGACTGCTTATAACTGCACTGATCTGGGGCTAACCTTCCAACAGTTAAGAGGATGGCTAGGAACTGGCTAATAGAAATGGCACAAGGATGTCTCCTACCTATTTAGGGTTTTCGGTGACTGCAACTGAACTACCTACACATGTGAAGTAGACAAAAACATGGTATGTGAAAAATCAGGACACAAAATAGTAGCTTCATGCTGATGACTACGTCTCTAAATATAAGCAGGATTAGACATGAACACCAGGGACTTTCAGTCACTAGGGTTTTATGCTTGCTGCATTTTTTCTGTAAAGTGGAAAATAAAAATTTTAAAGGGATTGATTGTTGCCAAAAATACCTACAGTGACAAGAGAGAAATCAGCTCCGTGTAGTTAGAGGGTTTGTGTATAAGGGTAGGTAGATGTCATGGGCTGTCCCCCACTGTTTGGGCCCCATGCCACCCACCCCACGCTCAAAGGTGCAGACACCCCTCAGGAGGATGTGTATTTCTCACAAGAGCGACCTCCAGAACCTCATCCTGCTCACCATTTATGCTGCTGTCCGGCCTTGGCCTCCCCATGCTTCCCCCTGCCTTGGGCCCCCATAGTAGGCTTGATAGACTTTTAAAATAACCACACATCCTCTTATCCACCATAGTAACCATTTACCAGGCCAGGGATATTATTATTATTTTATTACATGATGAGATGTCAACATATTTAAATATTCAGCTAAATTGAACTTGAACTTGGTGGTCTCTGGTGGTGGTATTTAAGAAGGCCTCTGTACTTCCCTCTGGCCTATATCAATGACATGTTTTTTACATTAAATGTTGGCAAACTTGAAGGCCAAATGGCAGGGATGAAGAGCTTTTCCATGTGTGGCCAGAGGGCGCCGAGCTCACAGAGCTGCTCTTCC